TCTGTATAGGCCTCTGGACTGATAATAGATGAGTGGAGAGGTCAGGTGCTATGAGTTGTTTCTCTGAGCCTCATTACTTCCTCTTGTAGGCAAGAAGAGCCCAGAGATAGAGGATGAGGACGAAGAAGAGATGATGCTCTCTGTACCCCCAGTGCCAACGGAATTCAGGCCCATGCCAGACCCCTGCAGTGGTGAACTAGATGCCATACTGATGGGTGAGGCCCTTCCCCTTCATCCTGATGACCCTGAATCCCAGACAAACGGAAATAACATGGGACCTCAGTAGAAGCAGTAGAGGTTAGACCCAGGCAGGGGTTAATGACTGTGGAAGGAGGCATGTGGTGTGGAATATAAGTGTGGAGGAACCAGAGGCAAATGAAAGATGGACCAGGCAGGCAATTTCCTTGGTTGCCACCATATAAGGGCCACTAAGGAAGTTCGGGCAATCCTACTTCCGTAGTGATACTGCCTCGGAAACCCAAGGAGGGGTCACTATGAGTCGGGGCCGACTCGACGGCAAATAACAACAACAACAACAACATAATACACCTGGAAATACAGCAAGATGGAGAAAACTGTATTACCCAGAATGCCTAGGGAGGGTATTGTATCCAGTTGGAAGCTATTTGGAATGGAGAGTGAGGTACCCAAGAGGTCCAGCTATTGAGGCTTTTATTTTGTTGACTGGACCAGAGGTGAATTGCTCTGAACAACAAAGGAGAGGTTGAGCACTGGGTCCTCCTTCTCTGTTCTTAATCTTCTTGAATTAAAGTTGAATGAATTTTTGAAGAATCTGCTCTTGGGAGGAAAGCAAATTATCAACCTGCCTGAGACACCCAAATGTCTCTCTCTGTCTGACCCCTGCCTTTTTCTACTTGTTGACACATCTTTTGCTCATAGTGCCCCATGAGAAGACTTACTACTTCAAGGGGGACTACGGTGGACCATGACCAATTCAGGGTAGGGTCCCTTGTTCCGAGTGTCTGCCCTTTGGGAGGGACTCCCAGGAAACCTGGATGCTGAGGTCTTCTCTCCTTGGACACAGTAGATTCTCTTCTTGAAAGATACGGGGCCAGGTTACATTGTCTTATCTGAGGACTTCATCTTCAATAAAGTATAAAAGGGAAGGAGAAATGAGAAGTTTCTTGTTTTGTTTATTTAGTGCCACTCTAACAGGAGATACCACAAATGGGATGGCTTTAACAAATAGGAGTTTATTCTCTTACACTTATAGAGGCTAGAAGTCCAAGTCCACAGTGCCAGGCTCTAGGGGTTGGGTGAAAGCCCTTTGACCTTGGGCTTCAGCTCTGCCTCTTTTTCCTGGCCCACTGAAGCTAGAGACATGTCTTCATTCAGGGAGCTGCTGGCTGGTGATGCTGACAAACCCAAGGTCAACAAATGAAAAGGCATAGTCCCAAACCACATGGCAGGTCATTGATTCAAGTCCATTAAGAGTCCCAAGACTGGCAGACAACAAGGCAGGCTGCTGAACAACCACTTGGCTACAAGCAGGATTCAGGCATGCCAAAAGCTCCAGACCATTCCTGAAACTTTTCCTTATGTACTGGGAGCAGAGCACATCCCTAAAGCGCTAGCCAGCTGCTCACAGTAGATTGGACCATGAAGTTGATGATCAATCTCATCATGGGTAATACTACACCCAGCTGCCCAGACCCTCAAAACCAGGCCCAGCCAAGTTGACACATAACCTTAATTACCACATTTCTGAAAGGGCGAGATCAAAGTACCAAAGGCTATTCGCTGTGAGCCTGGGGGAATTACTCATTCTTCATATGCTCTCAGGAGCCAAGGTGTAGTTCTACATTAATTTCAAGATGTTTCCGGGCTTTCCCAAGAAGCTGAATAGGGTAGAACCCAACCTGGATGCAGCTTTCTATTGCCCTCCCAACCAAAAAGTGTTTTTCTTTAAGGTATAAAGTTCAAAGAAAGGGCAAATCCGTTTAGGAGGGGAGGGGTACGTCATACTGAGAAACCGAACTCTTGAAGGGAAAAATCTGCAGTTGGTGTGGGTTGGGGCCAGACCCTAGGGGGTCTCTATGTTCTCTCATCCTTCTCTTCCCCACCACCACTTCACACCCAGGGCTCTGGGTACTGACAGTCAGATGACCTGGCCCGAACTGGCTTCAGCAGTTACCCCAAACCAATCCAGAGGTTGTTTACGGGAACACCAGACGGGCCCTCAGCTGCAATGAGTTGGTGGGATAGCCAAGTCTACTTCTTCAGGGTAAACACTAGTGGTGCTTCAATCAGCAGCTTTGAGTAGAGAAGGGCTATTACTCCCAGAGATTCCGCCCAGAATTGAATGCACTATCATCCCAAGACCTTAGACATTGTCTGATCAGGCAGGGATACCACTCAGCCAAAGCTACAACCTTGGCTACCACTGCCTCAGCCATAGATAGCAGCTCAAATGCTGACCACTCACAAACACAATCTTGGACACTATGTCCTTAGCCACAGGTTCCACCACCCTTTCATTACATGACAATGACACTCTCCCAAAGGCGAAGACCTGCATCAAATGTCTGCTCTACAGACCACCATTAGCCAAACCAAGTCAAGCTGTTAGACCACAGACTTTTAAAGGTATCCAGCTCTGGTCAACACTCCCCTGTGCTCTTTCCCTCCTGGTCAGTGCCTGTCTGACTCTCGTTCAGACCCCAGCTCTACCCATTTCCTCCCCATCCTTGTCCTACATAGGACTTCCCAACTGTCACATATTCTCTGGAGGACAGTGGTGGAGAAAAGGTGTCAATCAGAACTTTAGCTGATAGGAGGCAACAGCCGGGAGCCTTTTGGGTCCTTTTCTTCCTAGATAAAGTGCAAAGAAGAATATTGTGGCCACTAAAATGTGTAAGTGCTTTGGTATCCTTGAGAATCACAATTATTTGTTTATTGGCTGGTGAATTAACCTCTTTGAGCCCTGGATTCCCCACTGGCAAAATAACATTAATACCAATCCTGCAGGGTTGTTGCATTAAATGATATAAAAAATGAAGTGCAGAGCATATCTGGCAGGTTTGTGCTCAATAAAGGCCAATTCTGTGTTTTTGAGAGGAGTGAATGGCTCTTCCTTGGCTGTGTGTTTGTGTGAACCCCTATCAGATGTTCAAGGGACAGAGGATCTGTCAATGTGGCTAACTCTTGGTTTTGGAGAACAGAGAACAGAATCCAGCAACAGCATGGTCAGAGTCCATGCTTTAGTAGTCAGTGCCAATTATTCACATGCTTCCTGCCACGTTTTTCCTCCCTCCTATCATGGCCTTGCTGCCCAGGGGTGGGATATATCTTCCCTCAGGCTCTCTGGGGAACAAGGGAACAGACATTGGGCTGGAGAATTGGAGGGGAGAAGAGTTAGAGTGGCTTAGTGGCTGGAATTTAATGAGAACTTTTAAGCTTCAGGTGGCAATTAGTCTCACCCACAGTGAGAGGCAGAGAAGGCACTTATCTCCCATGCAGCCCTGAAGACCAGGCTCTTTGGAGCAGAAGGGGAAGACTTTGGCAGGGGGGTCTGGTGCTATTTGGCATCTTGCTGGTGGATCCGAAGAAGTTGGAGATGTCTTCCTTTGCTGGCAGCTCAAGACTACTGCTTTGGACAGTGGTCCTATAAGTGTATTTCTGTGATCTGAATTCTCAGGTATATAGTAGAGCTGACAAGGGGCAAGGTTGTTCTTGGTCACAGCCAGCTATCCAGAGGGACCGAGTAGCTGAACCTGTGGGCTCAGGACCATAGTTGCAGGGGACGTCAAGCTCAATTGGCATAACATACTACACAAAACATTGTTCCACCTCCTACTTTGGCGAGTAGCGACTGGGATCTTAAAAGCTTGCAAGCAGCCATCTAGATACAGTGATGAGTCTCTCCTCATCTAGAGCAAAGAAGAATGAAGAAAACCAAAAATTCATGGAAAGAATTAGTCCTAGCGACTGGTACACCATGCGATCCTCAACCTATACGACTGTAAGACCAGAAGAACTAGATGGTGCCCGGCTACCACTGTCAACCACTCTGAGGGGGATCTATGTAGGAGATCCTGGATAGAGAGGGAGACCAATGTAGAACAAAACTCAAAATCATTTGGAAAAAAAAAAGCGGGGGGGACCAGGTTTCCTGGTCTGATAAAGCCTGGTGAAACCACAGAGACTATGGCCCCTAGCTGCCCTTCAGGTCTGGAATTGAACCCACACCTGTGGCTTCCAGCCAAACAAAAGACAGACGTATGAGTTGAACATTTACCTGAGGTAGACACACTCCTTGGGAAGAACAATCATGGGAGAAAGAAGGGCTGTTTATGCACAGGGAGAAAGCTCAGGGGACAGGAGTGCATGGAGGAATGGACACAGGGAAGAGGTAACTATGGGGAGGAAATGGGAGGGGAGCTGTTGCATTGTGGTAAATTATAGTCAATGTCATGAGACAAAGTTTATGTGAACTGCTATATGGAAAGTGAATTTGCTCTGTAAATTTTCACCCAAATTATAATTAAAGAAATAAAAAAGAAATGTGAAAAAAAAAAGACTACTGCTTTGGAGGAGGCAATACAGATGCAGAGAGGCTTTTTTAGATGCTGAATCCCACCCCTAAACACACTGCCACTGTAAAGAAACCTGTCTGACCTCCCTGTCATGGTCCTGTCATGCCTTATGTTTCCCAGTTACTCCAAAAGAAACTTTTTCTTTGTAATCCTCCTAATCATTTTTCTTGGACTTTACTGAGATCCTCCTTTTCCTTCCCTAATAGTTCCCAATAACTCTTCACAATTTCTCTTCTCATTCTTACCCAGATCTTCTTTGGTTCTTCGAAATCTAATTTTCTTTCAATGTCCTGACCGGGAAGTCACATCACACTGTGGAAATCCTCACCCTTCTCCCTCACCCCTTCTCTCATCAAGTCTGGGAAACTGGGGACATGAATGGGCACAAGTTGGCTATTTCTGTACCATGACATTAACTTACCATTAATGTGGTTTCCATGTACCTTACCCATGAGCCCCAAGTGCCCCTAGGGGGGGCCAGGATCCAAGGAAGACCCAGCTATACCAGCAGAGAGGAGGCAGGGCTGGAAGTGCCTGCAGCCATTGGCTTAGCTAACTGCACAGTGCCAGCCCCTCTAGGGAGAAGTCAGCACAGGCCACCAGTACTACACCAGCCAGTGAGGCTGTGCTGAGAACTGTGAATGGGCGTGGCCACCGAAGCATGAGCAGGGCTCCCAGCAGTGCTAGCCCCACCAGGCCTCCTGCTGGGACCCAGGCTGAAGGCGGCTGGTAGATGGGCTCGGTGCCCAACAGGGCCCCAGCTCCTAGGGTCAGGCCTAGTAGGAGACCAGTCAGAAAGAGACCAACATTGCGAACCAGCATGGTGACCAGGCCGCAGAGGAGTCCAATGCCCAGCGCAATGCCTGCGCTCACCTCCAGGCTCAGCTGTGTCTCCAACACCCGCTCTTTGTGGCACAACAGGAAGATCACCAGGGCTCCCGACAGCAGGCCCGAGAGAAACATCACGGCCTTGAAGCAGCGGTAGCCTGGGAAGGGAGGCAGGAGGCACTAAGCGGTAGAAAGGAGAGTCTACAGGGATGACTCTGATGATCTAAGTGGGCAAAGAATGGCTACTCAGAGGAGCAGAAGACAGAAATAGCATATCCAGGGGTAATTGCAGGGAGGGCAAGGGGCTTTTCAGGAACTGTGAGGGGATGAAAGAGAGTATCAGGGGGTATGTCTGGAGAGAAAGTCTAGCCCTACCAGGGATGGTAGGTTGAAAGAAATCAGCACAGGCTGGTGAACGGTGACAAAGCCTTAGGTAATGGAGGATATGTTGGGAGTAGAGTCTTGAGGTAAGAGACAAGAGCAGTGCAAAGGAGAGCTGCCATGGGTCAAAGTCGGAGGGTACAGGCATGGGGAAGGGCAAGAAGAGATGATGGCCATACAGGCATGGGCCCACACTGAAGGTAGGTATTCCCTGGTAGAGCAGTGGAGGGGAACCAGGAGCAGAAATATGTGGCATCGTCCTTGAGGGTGACAGTCTTGGTAGCTGCCCCCCAGGACCCTCACCAAAGCAGCAGTAGATGATTCCAAAGCAGCAGCAAAGGGCACACACTAGTGTGGGCGCCAGTTCAGGACTGTCCTGGGGTTCTAAGACACATCTTGGGTCTGGAGGCTCGAGGAGTTGTTGGTTAAAGGCCCTGGGGTCAGAGGTCACCACCAGGGGCAACAAGGCTTCCTCCATGGCTGAAGAGGAGGTGGCCACAAGGGGGAGGTGTCAATTCTTCTCATCCATCCAGGAATGTCTTGAGGAAGTTGGGAAACCTGCAAAGGGGTAGAGGGTAGTAACTCAAAAACCAAAACCAAAGTTACTGCCATTGAGTAGGATCCTACCACAGTGACCCCTCAGGTTTCCAAGGCGGTATTTCTATGGAAGTAGATTGCCCAATCTTCTTTCCGAGGAGCGGCTGGTGGGTCTGAACCACCAGCCTTCTGGTTAGCAATGAAATGCCTTAGGCAGTAACTCAGATGTCCACAAATATTGAGGACTCTGTACCTCACTTCTTTTGAAGAAATGTCAGTTTGTGAAGGAAGAATGGCCCTACTGGGGTACCTTAAAAAATCTGCAGGATTGGGTTGAGGGAAGTGGGTTGTCTGTTCACTACTCTCTGAAACAAGGATACTAAGTAAAACTGAAAGAAACAAATGGAAATCTCAAACACTAAGGACCCTTTTTCTGCCTCCTAGCTTTTCCAGGTTAGAGTAGGAAAGGAAGCTTTGGGTCTGGGCAGGGAAGGGCCCAATGGGCAGGGAAGGGCCCAACGGTCAGCAGTGGCATTGGGGGCTAAAGCCCCAGCAGCTTGTTCCAGTTGAAAAGAAACCTTGTCATATCTGCAGCTGGGACTCAAAACTACTCCACTGGACTGGGAAGGGAGGGGTTAACCCAAAAGGAGAGGGAGGAGGAAGAGGAGAGAATGAGTCATGGTGGGGGTCTCAGACAGCTGCTCTAACCCCAGGGAAGGAAGAGGGAAAAACACCAGACCCCAAAGGAGTTTGGGACATGGAATCAAGTAAAGATAGTCACCCACACTTTGTCAGGTTTTTGAAGCCCCGGCTTCATGCTCAGAGAGTTGTGGAGGGAAGGGGTGGTCAATCACACTCTTCCATGGCCCCTCATGGAATAAGCAGGAACTCAAATCCTACAGTAGCCAGTCTTGCTCCTCCCTTCAGGACACTGGTAGGACTTCTTCCTACCTTTCCCTTCCCCTAGGAGTGTCAGGTCTGCCACTGGAATTAAAAACAGTTCCTGAAAAGAGAACACCTTGGAGGGGTTGGTATCTGGGGCACTACTGGAGTGGGTGGGGTGGATGCAGGTACTTTCCTCCAGCTGTCTCCTCTTGGACACCAAGCAAGGTCCCAACAGGCTCCAGGGATTGCTTAGGAAATCCCTAAGGCTCCTCTCTCAATTCGCTTGGAAATCTGAGGACACTAAAGAAGGGGAAGTTGGGGACGGGGTGTTTACTCACCACCCTGCGAGGACTGAGGAGAGGAGGGGGTGGATGTGCTTCCCTAGAGTCCCAGCTGCAAGCTTGCTCCGAGATCTTAGGCGTCGGGGTGGCTGTCGGACGTGGGCATCCCCAGGGCCACTCTGCAGCCCTCTAAACTCTTGCAAGTCGTAGCCCAAGCCCTGGGAGCAAAATGCAACCAGCTTGGGGGTGGAGGAAGGGGGCAGGGTGGGAGGGGGTGACATCATGGGGCGGGCCCCTCCAACTCTTTATCTTGTGTTTTGGGGGGAGCCAGGTTGCTCACTGCGCTAAGCCAGGACCACAGATCTCAAAGCACAGCAGGGAAGGATCTTGAGGGAGTGCCGCAAGAGGTTTGGGGAAGGTATTTGAATACTTAAGAAATAACTCTCAATAACTTGAAGCGCAGAAAGCTCCAAATGGGGTCCCATTGCTCCCCTTGTTCCAGCTTGGTTTCTTCCATTTCCCAGAGAATTGGAGTATTGTCTTCTGCAGAACAGGGTGGTCGGGACCGGGCACTCGGGCAAGGGGCTGTTACTGGCCTGGGGCGCCAGCGGGTACTTGAGGGGTGGGGGAACCTTGCGGAGAAAGACGAGGTCTGGAAAGGGCACTGACGAGACCAGTTTAAGAGGCTTGAGGCGTGTGCACAGGACGGCACCGAAAGCAAGGGGACCTAAGCCTGCTCTGCGTGGGGGCGGGGGCGGTCGTCGACGTGGATCTTATAGCTCAGTATGCAAATGAGACTCAAAGCAGACTGCAGATCTGTGCAGCGCTCTTTGGCACTGGGCTCCGGCCATAAACCTAGCGGCGCTATGTCCCCAGTCTGACAGCCCCGCTCTGTGACCTCGCCTTGGAGTTGCGTGGAGAGGGGCAAATTCGGACCGTAGGAGCGACAGTTAAACACCGGCACTTCGCCAGCTGGGCCAGGCCCTGGGGAGGGCCAAGGTTGCTGGGAAAGGTGGAGCAGCGCTGGGGGGCCAGGGCCGGGGGTAGTCTGGGACGCCCTCCCTCCCACCCCAGCAGGATACAAAGGGGCCTCTGCCCTCGGCTGCGGCCCAAGAGGAACGGATCAAGGCGGAGGCTCCTCTGCGTTCCCTGGTTTTGTCTGTAAAGGAGACGGAGTGTGGCTCGGTGGCTCTCTTCCATCTCTCAATCTAGGCAGAGCACAGGACTCCAACCAGAGGAACCCTGAGAATCTGCCCCCCGCTCGCAGGCACTGCTGCAGCGCACACTTGCTTCGCTTCTAGGGTTGCAATCTGTCCGGATTCCATTCTAGCAAGCAGAGAGGGCAGCAGCGTAGGACCCCTTAATGGGCGGGTCCGTTTCTTTCTGGAACCGCCTCTTTGATTTGACTCTGAGCTTGCCCCACTGGGCGTTCCTCCGCCAACCACCTTCCTTCTCCGTCCCGTCTCTTCCCTGGTGACGCCGGAAGTGGAAGTGGGTGCAGGTCGGCGGCCGCAGCAGAGACGGAAGACGGAAGCAGAGCGGGAGGGGGAGACGGGGGAGCTGCTCTGGTATCTTACCCTGGCCCCAGTCCCAGCTGCTAGAGGAGGAGTTACTGCTGCACTTTAGTAAGTTACCTTCGCCCCAGGATACTCAGCCCGAGGATTCCAGGGTTGTCTCTCTCTGGAACAACCCTAAGCTCCGCCCCCAGGTTTTCCTTAAGGGCTGCACAGTCTCCATCCTTTTCTGGTAGCGAGCGGCTCACCTTTCTGGCCGCCTTCCAGTTTTCCCCAAGAGTGACCCTATGACCACACACTTTATGGTACACTCTAGGATTATAGCTTTCTGGACAGCTGAAAGCTATGGGGGTTTGGAGGAGTCTCCAAGAACTTCAGAAGACGTTCTCCTCTCTCACAGTGAAGACTTTGGGAAGGAGGTGTTTGCTTTAAATGTATCCTGTTACGAGATTATTTAAACCCTATCAGTCCCATCCTTGACACCTTTGTTACAGGCATCAGAACCTACCATGATGGCTGTGACCTAAAACCCTCAGGAAGCCCCAGGGTCATGGCCCAGAAGCATCCCGCAGGAAGAGGGTTGTGTGGAGCCCAACACAGTGATGGTGCTTCCCTCGGGACTTTAGGACCCTCGGTGGACCCTGACACACTTTCATTCTCAGGACCTGGGGACTCAGCAGGGACTGGTCTTAATGGTACCGGCTGCCTCACGGAGCAATCAGATCCTAAGTACACACAGCCCCCAAATCCAGCCCACTGGTCGGATCCAAGCCATGGCCCCCCAAGGGGTCCAGGACCTCCCAGGAATGGAGAGGATCCTGATCAGAATGAGATATCTTCAGACGAAGTCGAGTGCAACAGGACTCTCAAGAGAGAATAAGGCTGGATATTACTAGGAGGATGGGAACCCTTCTTTTCTTTCTATTCTATCTGTTTGCAACTGCCAAGGAACCCCTGGAATCCCTGAAGGTCATTACTCTGAGGGAAGAGATAGCTCTTCTAGCAACTTCTGCCAGCACTGTATCTCTCCAGCCTTGCAGGAGGATGAAAAGTTGGAAGAGAAGTATGATGAGGAACCTCGTAAGTTCACCAGTGACTTTTCATGTGTGCCCAGTGGAAAGACACCTCCACCCCAGAGACAATGGCAATGCCTTCCAACCAAGGAGGATACTCGAGAGGGTGGACACACAAATCACTGGCCCTCTGGAAGACAGACATCAGCTGGGTGGGAAAGAAGTCAGACAGGTGTAGAGGCCTGGGATTTTGGGGAGCAGCAGAACTATGTCAGCTTGGACAAGCAGGCTTCTGGAGGCTAACTGAACTGCTGGTATTGGTGGGAGAATACGTGGAAACTTGTGGGCATCTCATCTATGCATGCAGGCAGCTGAAAGGCAGTGATCTGGACCTTTTTCGAACCTGGGTGGGAGTCTGGGCTGGGCGGCTGAGGCGCTGGGCCCAGGTGATATTCCAGTTTCTGAGCCAGGGGTTTTGCTATGGCATAGGGCTGCTCACCCATTTACTTAGGCTACTGGGTGCTTTGCTGCTTCTGGCTGTGGCCCTCTTGGGCTGTCTACAGTTGGGCTGGCAGTTTCTGGTAGGACTAGGTGACCGGTTGGGCTGGAAGTGGGCTAAGGCCACCTGGCTATTCTCTTGGCTGGATTCTCCTGCCTTGCAGTGTTAACCTGACTCTGCTGAGAGACAACAGGCCATGGCAGAAGCTGGTATAAATGGTTGGGTGGTTGGGTGGAGTTGCCTTTGGTCAAGCAGAGGATTAACAGGCAGTAGAGTGCACTCATAACTAGTGGGCACGACTGCAAGCCTGAAGAGGAAGTGGCTCGACTCTTGACCCAGACTTGTGAAAACAAGCAGCTGGATGTAGTTATTCCCATAACTACAGATAAGACTGGTAGTCAGCTACACGGTGAGCAGCTGAGTAGTTGCCATAGGGATGTGGTCTGCTTCCAGTATAGAAGACAATTTTAGAAAAGTCTTGAGCTTTTTGGCGCACCTGGATCCTGCATTTGGTCAAGTCTTAATCTCAGTGCTCTGCCATGTTCTCTGCCAATCAAGACTGTTTCTAGAGTTGAACTAGTGGCCTGCTGTGTTGCTTAATAATCTTGGGACTGTGCCATTTCACTTGTTGACATTGGTTTTGTCAGCCTCAGCAGCTTCCTGAGTTAAGAGACACCTCCAGCTCCAGTAAACTGAGTGCAAGAGGCAGAGCTGAAGCAAAGGTCAAGGGGCCTTCACCCAGCCTCCAG